TTTTTTTTTTTTTTTTTTTTTTTTTTTGAACTACCAGAACTCTTTTGCAATTTCCAACTGTTTATTTCTATAGAATGTGATAGCGGTTTTATTGAACTGTTTTTGAATTTTGCATATTCCGGGATTTGGATAACGGTTTTAAGAAAACATTTGGATTTTTTGCATTAATATGGCTCTTTTTTAAAATGAGTTTTTTTTGGTGCACAGTAAGAAATATCGTACGAACGGAAATTGCCGTCAGAGTTAGTCGGTAATGAAAAGGCAGTTGTGTAGCGTAAGGTCTGATCTTGCCGAGATCTTTCTGAAAGTATTACTTCACAGTGCTCATTCTCCCCGTGATTTAAAATTTGTTGATGAGTACATTGGCTTTTTTCATGAGTTGAACTCTTTGCGAGTGAACATAGCGTTTTAAAATTTTATATTAGAAGTTAAGAATTAATTTTTTTACGAGTATACTGTGAGGATTTATCGGCAGTTATTTCTTTCATTTTCCTTCAATGTGCAATTTCTTTTCCTAGGTTTTGAGAATTTATTCTGCAACGGCATCTTAGGTATTTTTTTGTTTTTATTCTTGCTGGGTAGCTATACACATATACGGACCACTTTTGTAATATTGAAGTACATTTTTTTCCAGGGCAGCTCTTTCATGTCTTGGCTCGATGTATGAAAGTTTGGGAAGGCTGGTTGGTCGAAGTTATGAGGAAACGTTCCATCATTTATCCAAGTGGATTCGCAATGCTGAAGTAAAACTTATGTTGTAATATTCTTTGTATTGCATGTTTTCTTTGCAGATGGAAATATATCGGTGGGTTTTCTTAAGAAAAAAAGAAAAAGAAGTTTATCAAGGGGATTACGTAGGCTTCTTTGGCTGTGAAACCGTAATTGAGTTTATGAAACTATGAAGGATTGTCATTTCTTGATGTGGGAGGTGTTTTCAGAAAAATTGTACATTATAAAAGTATACTCGAAAATTATATTTTACAGTTTCTTGAGGATAACTTTAGTTTTTAACAGTTTGCGGAATTTTTTCAAGTAGAAGACAAGAGGGATTCGGAAGTAGGTTTGGCGCAGTGGTGTAGGGGTTCAGTGGGAGTTGGCCTGTGACGGGTTCGGTTCTTGGTTGTGTTATTAGTGGCTAAATTCCTTAGTTGAAAGCCATATGATGATTATGCACGACGGTCTTCCGAATCACAGCTGTGGATCGAGATTGTGCAGTCTGAGGCATCTTGTCTGGGATAGAAGTTGGTGACGTTCGGTTCTGTTCCAAGCTGAACAATGCCGTTGGCAGTGAATTCGTTTTTGCTTAGCTTGCTCTTAATTATTATCGAATGCAAAACATACTGTTCAGCGCGACATGGAGTTCGGCATTTTAAAATATTTAGTGTATTTTTTTTTAATGTGGAACCTTCTATTTAAGTTATAGATTTGGTTAAACTTATTGCGGCTTTTTCTTCATATGCGGAAACTGGGATAATGCAATAAATTTGGACTTCCTGATTTTTAGCTGTACTCTTGCTCGGATGTTTTGAGAATTTATTCCTCAAAGTGAGTTTGTATACTATACTGGAGTGACAGGAATCAGATCTAGACATTTGAAGAAGATTTTTTAATCACTGACAAGGTTGACCTGTTCAAAACTATTAACCGAGTTATATAGATCACTCTACTGCATTTATGGAAGTAGATTTTGGACTCACTAATTTTGAGAATTTTTTCATTTTCAATAGTATATTAGCAGGGGCTGAATAGTAGTTGGATTTTTAGAGACTTGTTCGGTTGTTGTCAGGTTACTGTTAACGTTTGATTTTTTCCTGCTTATGAGATCTTAGTTTGCTGTTTCCATTGTTACACAATTGTGGAGTGACTTATAAACAAAGCTGATCTTTTTGTTTTGTAGCGCAGTTAGAGTTTCCTTTTTTTCTAGTGCTTTAGGTTAATCGCTGGTGGGACGTTGATTCAAAAGTATTAATTTTTGGACTCTTCTAAGTTAAGCAGGTATTTAAAAAGTGTGGTTTGTGATATACTGATATAAAGATTTTTCTTTTTTCTTACTGCACCACTGTTTCGCTGTATTTTTTCCAGTTCTTTCGGAAGGTTTTTGTTTAAATTGCAAAAATAGTACTTTCCAGCGGTTTTTTGTCTGTGAACAAGTGGAAGTAATATTGGTGCAGTTATCGTATGAAATAATGGGCTATTTGAGAAGTCTTCCACGAATGAACGGACTATAAATATGGCTTGCAAAGTGTGTGAACAAAAAAAACTTAATGAAAACTGAGCATTTGGTGCAGAGCATCTCGCTCTTAAGGTCAGAATCTAAGAGGGATCGTTGACACTGTTTCAAGGAGGTATCATAGATAGGGTTTTGAGTTGAAAACTTGAATGACACCTATCTGAAATAGGAAAAGAGGAGAAGCGAGACCGACGGCCAATTTATGAGCTCACCAAATGGCGATACTTAGTGCGTGTTCGGCGTAAACAAAATTTTTTTTTGGCGATTTAAGGCTGATCAGTTTTTGAGCGTTGAATTAATTCATATGAAGAGGAACAAAAATTGTATGGTAACTAGGAAAGGGTTAGACAAGGGGAGGTGTCAATCACTGTCTAAGTCAAGTAGAAAGCTGGTTTTTCTTTAGCCTGTGTTTATGATCACCGAGGCTGTGGGAGCATTACTGTAGGGAAAACTGTCCTTGGCTTAAGAATGTGAAGAAAGTTTTGACGGCATTGCATTTGAGAGCTTTAGGCGGATGAAAAATATTGTTGCTTTGCAGTAACACCAGATCGGATGTCTTGATTTTTGCTAAAATGAGTGGGGATGTTAAGTTTGTCGTTTCACTCTGACCCTTCAGATCTTCTCACTGATAATTTTAGTTTTTTAATCATGATAAAAATTTTCTTGATCTAGGACATTGAGAAAGTGTCTGCAGCAATTTTTTGATTTTTGTTTTCGCATTTCTTTTTTGAAACGATACCAAGGCTGTTATCACGCCGTCAAAGCTGTATCGTTTCTTGCGGGTTTTACTGTGGTGGGTAATTCTGAACCGATACAGAGTTATGGCATGTTGAATTAAAAGATAAATTAACATTTCTTCACTGATGAGCCTGATATTTTTATAACTTTATTTTTTGCCTTGTGCAGATTACATTTGCAAGTTTGGACTCATTTTTTATCCATTCCTGATTTGATCGTGTTGCTTCTATCAGGTGCATTATTCTTTCAGTCTCAAGGCAGAGCAGAAATCATGATTGTACTTTCCAAGATGATCTCAGGACTAGGAAGCGCTGCTTCCTCTATATATAAAGAATTGTATAAAATTTTAAAAGCTCACATGACAGATCGGGTGATGTCGGTGCGGGTAGCTACTGTTAATGTAGGTTACCTCAAGTTTGCAGTTTGGGTTTATTCTTGTTCCGGTGTTAGCTCACAGTTCTTATTATGCTTCTGTGATGTGATTTGACTTATCGGGTTTATAAACTTTCAGTGCTTAGCTGCTTTAGTTCCAGAATATGCTTTCCTGTATACGAGTGAACTGGAAAGCATCAGCACAATGTGTTTTAAGGCTCTTGAATCAAGCAATTATGAAGTACGAATGGCAGTTGCTCAGCTCTTTGCTATTTTATTCAGTATGACTCAGGAAGGTCAAAAGGGAGGCGGAACAGGTACAAAAATGACGATTTTTTTTGAATTTATTAACAGCTTGCAAATGTTTTTCAATTATCGAACTGTGCTCTTGGTCTAAATTCCAGGTGTAAGTGGAAAGGTTCAGTCTTCTTCGGTAGGACTTTCCAAAAATTGTTCAGTTGAGGAGCTTTTCAATATTCTTTCTCTTGGTTTTCTTCGTGGAGGTATTGGAGGATTCCTTAAGAGTGGATCGTCTTCAACATCGAGTGGACAAAGAGAAATTCGAGTAGGAGTCAGTTTGGTGGGTTTGCTACTGTGTTCTTTGAGCACTTGTGAATTCACAGAAATATTGACAAAACTGATCAATTCACTTTGCGTATTTTTCTTTGAAAACTTTGTATCCTCTCTATCTTAATCATAAGTTGTTTATGATATCTGGTTGTGTATATGACCGATGTTGGCTTGCAGGCATACGTGGAAGTAATAAAAAAGTTGGGTCCTGTCTGGTTGGAAAGAAACATGAGTTTTATATTAAAACATCTCATTGAACTTGTAGCTAAATTTGGTGCTCTTTCTTTCACAAGGTTGTTAATTGTGTAAAATTAAGGCTTTTTAGCTTGTCTTTTAAATTTCATTGAATTCAATTTCTGGTTTTCTAGTAATTTAAATCAAGTTGCGGAGGTAGTCTTTATGCGGCGGTGTATCGGGTTCATCTTGAGAAGCACATTTGGTACCTTACTAAGCGAACAGGCTCAAATAGCGGTCTGTAAGCAAATGGGAGTTTTGCTTGCGGACTACATAAATTCATTCGGTAAATTTCGTTCTTCACCTCTTGGTTCTCAATAAATATTCATTTTACCTATAAAATTTATAGTTTAGAACCAATTATTTTGTAGATTACAATGTGGAACCAGGAAACGAAGTTCTTGGACCGGAGGCATATGCGAGTGCGCAAGCCTCAACGGTTATTTTGTTGGAGATTTCTTGTTTTGTTCGTCAGATTGGGACCGCAATTACTCCACTTTTTGTTGAAGCTTCAGGTCACTATTTTCTTATATTATTCAGAATAAATTACGCTTGTTACATGCGTAATTTATGTGTATGCCTTTTTGAATTGTGGCTTTCCTTTCCGCAGTTGTTGTCAAGTTGCTCATTACTTTATAAGGAAAGATTTAGCCTGCAGTCAGTCGTTTTGCTTATAATTATTTATTCTTCTAGGCATAATGGAACCTGTATTCGCATGTCTTCTTCATCCAGTGTTCAATGCTCGAGTGGCTGCTGCATGGTGTTTACGGTGTGCAACTATAAGCGTGCCTTCTCAGCTTACACCATTAATTGATCGGTGTATCAACAGGTTAAGTGCAGCGTAATGAAGTGGTGGCTTTTAGTGACTCACTATTTTAAGCACTATCTCCGAAGTTTATTTAGGAAAAATTTTCAAAAAAAATTTTTTTTTGCAGACTAGAGCACATGAAAGTGTGTGGAGACGCGATAAGTGGATATTCCTTGGCTCTTGCTGCACTGCTAGCTGGGTCTTCAGAGTGCAAGCTAGGAATACCGCACGGAAAATCAAAGTCAATTTCTTACATAATTTTCATAGAGTTTTGAGGGCTCTTCACATGGCTTTTTGTAAACTTCCTAGCAAGGTTTGTTCTTCAGGCAGGTTTTTACTCTTGCTGAAGATATGATTCGTACAGCTACTCAGTCGAACCGTCTTGCGCAGGTAAAAGTACAAGCAGGTTGGATATTAATATCAGCCGTATTAAAACTTGGTAAGAATTTCGCTTAAAGGTTGAAGAATAAGAATACCACGCACATTACTTCAAATCCTGCTTTTTTATTTCCGACATCAGTCGCTTAATTTCAGGACGTATCTCTGCCCAGAGCTGTGTACAGCGGCTACTTCTTTTATGGAAAAGCACTTTTCCACGTTCAGTCAAGGAGGCTGAAAGCGAAAAATCCCGAGGAGACACTTTCACTTGGAGCTGTACTCTTGAAGCAAGAGGGGGAGCGCTTGGGTCCATGGCAGTTTTTGCAGAACACTGTTCTTCAATTTTGAATGAAGAAATAGTGAGCAGAATTGTTTTAGCGTTAGAATGCTGTTTGGTAATGGTTTCAAAGTAAGTTACTGATAAATCAAAAGATTAGGCTTCAGCTGTATTGAAGGAAGTTTTCATCAATATTTTCCAGTACCGGTGTTCTAATGAGAGCCTATGGCGTCAAATTGAGATCGCTTATATCTCTCGTACGCATAAGACTGTACAGCGTTTTAAATGCTCTTTCACCTACCTGTTATGAACGTAGGCTTTTAATGCACTAAGTTTTTTTGGGGGGTTTTTTTTCGAGGAATTTTTAACTAATGCTTTTAACAGCCGGTTTTAAAGGTTTGTTTTCGTCGCTGTTACGCGAGTTGGTTGCTGAGATGACTCTTGCTGACAACACTCAGTCTACGTGGACAACTTCTTTACTGCCGTCTTTGTGTGTTGGAGTTGAGGATTCACTTCTTGGAGCTTGGCTGAAGGATACGGATCAAGCTTTTCTTGAATATGAGGTGTCATTTGCATTCAGAGATTTTAAGGGCTGGCTTTCCTAAGCCAAATCAGAAGTTGTTATGCCTTTGTCCTGTCTCTGGTAACTTGTTTGACCTTTATATTAAGCAGTGGTTAAAAATTTTGTAATATTTGTTTTTTGGTCGAGTGGGTTGCTCTCACGGGACTGTAAACTCTTTTATATTGACTTTCACAGTTTTTAGATGCAGAATAGCCAGTACAGCGAATATGGGGCAATTGAAAATGATCCATTTTGTTTGCTACAGTAAGTATTTTATGTGAATTTTATTTTTTAACCGAATTTGTGTCAGTTTTCGTCAGTAAATTAGTAGTTTTGTTTACGCAGTTTTGAGATATAATACATGCCCTAACAATTATTTTTTTATCAGAAGTACTCCAGAAAAAGTCGAACAGTGGCCGGAACCTCATTCTGTACACGTTTCTATAATTGATGCTGCAATTGTGATCTATGGAAAACTTTACGTATTAGTGCCTTCTAAGCATAAGATGCAGATGACGGAACACTTTGCGGAGTGTATAAAAAATACAAAAAACTCTGTCAGGCAGATCTCGGTATTCTGGTTTGTTGCGTATTATATTCTGAATGTTTTTTTTTTTTCAAGCGATCGGTAGGAAAAGATTGGAGGTAAAAAAGTTGTTTGATTTGAGATATTGAAGTTTGGGAATTTTTTCTATTTTTTGAGAAGATTGACTGAAATCGATGAAACCTAATAACTCACTTTTCTTATTTACTATAGTTTTCACGGTTAAGAATTAATTTTCTTAGGTTCAGGTGTGGGGTATTGTATTACAAAACAATTTATGCTAGTATTGTATGGGATATTTTAGATACAACGAAATGTTTTTGCGTGTTTACTTACATCTCTAAGAAGTGTAGGTGAACAGAAAGGATATCGTCTTGAGGGTGACACTTTGCGCAAAGTAAACTTGAATTTGATTGTATCTTCAATTGCGCATTCGAACCCGCTTTTAAGGTTAATTTTTTACTAGACTGTATTAAATTAGTCTTATCTGTTGCATTTTTAGTTGTAAATTTTCGTGTTCCACTTATATCACTTAAATTTTTCTGATTTCTAACATTTTTTACAGGTGCGCCGCTGCAGAAGCTCTTGGCCGACTAGCACAGGCAGCAGGAGATGCGCAGGTAAATACTTTGGCGGTTTTTAAAATAAGTGGTTTGTTTTTTCTTTTTTATTTTCTCGTAAAGATCAAAAGTTTTTACTGTTGATGAAGCTACCTGAGAAGTGACAAAGAAACAGTTTTAGGGAAGTATTTTGAACTTTTGCCACATAAATATGGTACGATTCTTGTTTCAGTTTGTTGCTGCTATGGCACAATTTGCATTTGATAAACTTCAGTCTTGTCCAGATGCTTTGAACAGGACGGGTTTTGCTCTTTCACTTGGTTCCCTTCATCGGTATGTAGGGTCATTAGGTAGCGGACAGCATTTGGATGTTAGTGTGAAAATTTTGGTAGCCTTAGCAGAGGACAACAGATCTCCGACAGTTCAAGTTGTATTTTGCTATCCTTATTGCTTTCTTCTAACAGTTTCGTTGTTTGCGCGGTCACTTTTCCCAGTTATTTTTAGGCATGGTCAACATTAGCTTTGAGTCTAATTGCTGATACTGCTGGAGGGATGTTTCGAGGTTATGTAGACCTAAGTTTGAGTTTGTCACTTAAACTGTTACTGGCAACTCCTTCTGCCAACACTGAAGTCATACAGTGTGTCGGGAAACTGGTAGTTTATTTTTGCCATGTTTTTTGTTTTGGGAAATTCCCCCTTTTTTTTCTAATTTTGGACTATCTTCATTTTCTGAGCCACTTTTGGTCTAAATAAAAGTCTGTTGAGGTATCGGCTTTAATAACAACTGTTGGACCAGAACTACAGTTTATCGGACCTATAGAAAGCACGAGGAACTCGTTTTTGATAGGTACATTCATTTTAAAAATTTTTTGAAGCATATTTTTTTCGACTATGTTGCGTTTAATGACTTCTAGTGATTTAGATCTGTAAATTAATTCATAGCTGTGCGAGAAACCGTTTGTTTTATAATGCATGTTGACTTTTTAGCGAGTGCTATGATGTTGGACAATACGGATCCCGTCGTTCAAGCAGAAGCAATATTTTCTTTGCAACAGTTACATTTATTCGCACCAAGATACGTTCACCTTGATCGCTTAGTCTCTCACCTTTGCGTTAGTTTTGTTTCTTACGTGAAGTAATTGGTAATTATGGTTAGATATGGTTTTCATTTTTAGCTTTTCAGGCTGTAGTTCTAACTTTCAATTTTTTAAAACGTACCTTTTAGTCTAATGGCTTCCTTATGCATGATATCAATTATTGTTTCTTTAAGCGTCTCCTGTCCAGCCCGCACTTAATTTTGAGAAAAGCATCTGTTTGTTGTTTGAGACAATTAGTGCAGAAAGAGGCGAAAGAGGTTCGGGAACATGCGCAAAGTCTTGTTCCACAAGGTTTGATAAATTCTATATCGAAACGTGCATCAGCTCCTGTGCTTCCTGAATCAGGTTTAGAAGGCGCTCTGTTGGGAATGCTTGATTCTGAGACAGATTTGACCTTAAGGCAACATATTAAGGTTAGCGCAGACAAATAAATTTGAATTCAAACACAGTCAATTTGTGTTTCCTCATCATCACTGTTCAGTTTGAGTACAAAGTTTTATGATCAGTTTCTTTTAGGTCTTTCTGTTTGGCGTATTTTTGGTTGAAAAAAGTTTTGAGATTTGTCGTATTGGCTGAAATTTTATTTACTGGATTGTCTTATTCAGGAAACGCTAATATCTCTTGTACAGGCCATGTGTGGTGATCTTTTAAGTTACTGGTTGTCACTTTGTAAGGATATACTGGCGTCTTCTATTGGAGTAGATCGTAGCACTATCCAGATTGAGGAAAAAACTAGCGATCTTAGTTTGGAGGAAGAAGAGGAAAAAGAAGTCAGGTTTTCTTTGTTTGCTACGATTAGTAATCTGTTTAGGAAAGATGAACTTTCATTTGATAGTAGTTTGAAAGTTATGATTTAATAAATTAATCTTTATTACTGCATTGGATGCAGTTTTGAACAGCAGTGTGTAACTATTAATTTTTTATATTAGTTTTACATATACGAATTTGCTTTGAAACTGTTAGGTGAGATTTCATTTCCTAACGTGATATATTGTATTAACATATTAAACTTTATTGCTCTTGAGGTATGAATTATACCTTTTATTATGGGTTTTGTTGCAGAAGTGATAGGAATTATAGTGTAACTTTTTTTAAAATCATCACTCAAGTATTACAGGCTGCTGATGATGACGCCACACTGCAGGCTATGTCTTTGTCAGAACGCGATGAAAAACCGAAGTTAATGCCTCGCTGGCCAACTCGCGTTTTTGTTAGCGAAATAGTACAAAAACTAATGACGGTCTGCGACAGCGAGCGGGCTCATTTAGATCTCAGTTTAGCAAAAGAGCTCCAGGTATCTGTCGTTCGGATGACGAAGTTTATTATCTTTATTAGTCTTGAGTTGCTCTTTCTTCCCGCTTAGTCACTTTTTCATTACGACTCAGAAAGTTTTTGTGTTTTAACAGCTGTCTTCTGGAGGGCGAGCTGACTATTTAGTCCTTCACCTCTCTGATCTCGTGCGTATGTCATTCATGGGTGCGACAAGTGAAAACACCACATTACGACTAGCGGGGCTTTCGTGCCTTCAGGATGTTATTAATCGTTTTTCCACAGTTCCAGAACCAGAATTCCCTGGGCACGTTATACTGGAACAATTTCAAGCACAGGTCAGTCCGAACCTACATTTAATTTCACTTAAAATTTATTTAAACTTTTCTGAAATTGATTTGGTTAAGGTAGGTGCTGCACTGAGGCCTGCATTCGTTCCTGAAACACCCAGTGATGTGACGGCTGCAGCTTGTGAAGTTTGCAGCACTTGGATTGGTAGTGGTGTTGCACGCGATTTAAATGATCTTAGAAGGGTACATCAGGTAGGTTTTTTTTCAAGTTCTCTTATTCTTTGGGAAGTTGAAATGCTTCTGATTACACGACTAGAGAACAGGGAAATGTTGCAGTAGTAGTTCATTAATCAATTTAAAGTGATGAAGGGTTTTCAACTGTTCATCACTGCTCATCCTGAAAAAAAGCATTTTATTTCGTTTTTGCAGTTTGGCAAAAAGTATTTTCCAGCTCCTTGTTTCTTCCTTGACAAAGTTGACGCATGGGTCAATCAACACTCAGCTGTACAGTGAAAGTGCAGCTACGCTGGAAAAACTAGCTATATTAAAAGCATGGGCTGAAGTTTATATTGTTGCTATAGAGCAAGAAAACAAGAAAAATGAGTTGGAAAAAACACATTTGGAGAAAGGTTTCACATTTCGTTTTCGATTTTTTTTTAGAAGAGGTGTATCAGTCTGTTTTGCAAATTTTGTTTGCTTGGATCAGTTAGATGGTATTGGAGCAAGGGGAACCAAAATTGAAATTTTTAGGCGACGGTGATAACTGTTTTTCGAACGAAAGTTTGCTTAGTTTGGTTACACCGGAGCTGTGTTCACTGGTGGAGTATTGGCTTGCCGCTCTTCGTGATTTAGCCTTGCTGTCTTTACCACCAGAATTCGCACACCAACTCCCTCTTAAAGGAGGCGCTTTTTATGTGCCTGAAAGTATTGATGTAAGTTTTTATTGATGAGCCTCTTTAGTGAAGTTCTTTAGCGCGTGCTCGTTTGAACCATGGAAACATCGTACTGGTTTTCATGTCAAATTCTTTAGTCGTGTAGGAAGTATTATCGAACAAGTTGGCCTCCTATTCTGCTCGCTACGGTAACCTGGCTAAACCAAACTAATTTCGAAATACCTTGCGAGTTTAAGGTTATTTTTTGTCTTTTACTGATTTTTATTATCATTATTATTATTGGCATTACATTACTATCATTATTACTATTATTATTATTACTATTACTGTCACTATTAATGTTACAAGTTACTATTACTATTAATGTAATAGAGAAATTCCTCATTTCATAACTCTTCGTTTCAGAAATAAAAAACTGGTACTCATTTGAATGACACTTTTATAAATCACTTAAAAGTGATCGCGAAACATGTTGTTAGCGGGCTGTATTTTGGAAATGCTGTATTTTCAGGGTCTGAATGAAATGAATAAATTTTCAAAAGAATCACATTTCTACATTATGCTTGGCATATGCATCGAAGCTTTATGTTCTAATAGGTCCTATACTGAAGGCGATCAGACCGTTCAGGTAACTTAAGAATGCATTGTACTAAAATACTCTGAATCAGTTTTTTACCAATCAGACTTTCAGCTTTGCCTTCGCTCACTAAAAAGCCTAATGGGATGCGACTGGGCTAGGATGCAATTTATGAAAAACGTTTCCCTTCCGATCGAGTTGCTCAATGTTCTCTATAGGTAAGTTTGTTATTTTAGTCAACTTAACTGTATTCTGAGGAATTATTTTTTTGACGATGTTTTCAGACTTATTTTAACGCGGGATAACCTCTTTACACAGCGTTTGTGCGGTGAAGTTGTTATTGCCATTTTGGAAGCAGCGAAATACTCAATTGATCGGTTGAAGGATAGAGGTTGTTTTTTTTTGCAGATGAAGGGAATTTGAAAGATATTTTTTCTAGCTATGATTCTTTTAAGCCTTGTTTCTTGAATTTTTACTTTGATGCTATTTGTCAATATCTAGATGTGCAAAATGCGAATACTCCAAGCGAATTTGAAGGGGGCTATACGGGTGAAGAAGGTAGTGCTGATGGCTTGGAACCTCAAGGCTCGTTGGCTTTTGCTGTCCTTGAAGTCGCCCTATGTATTTTGGTGCGTCAGGCAAGTAGTTGTGCATTTCGTATTTACCACTTGGTGCGGTGTTTCCTTATACTTTCCCTTAATTTGCAGATGCCTCAGTTGAACGCTATGCTAATGAATAAGAAGGTGATGACGTCTATACACTATCGAAAGTATTCTCGTTTGCCTGCCGAATCTAATGAACTAATAAAAGTGAGCTTGCTTCATCCAGTGAAAAGCAAGTGAATACTGTACTGGAAATTCTTGTTATCAATTTTTTAAATAATTGCCAACTTTCCAGTTAGGCATCGCTGCATTAGTACGTGTACCATCTCTTTGTTCTTTGGAAGGTAAGTTAGTTGTCCTTCCAGCTATCCTCTACTTGGTCATTGGTGTTCTACGTGAAGCATCCACTGTGGATCAGGTACTTTGTCCAATTCAATTCCTATAAGTAAAAATTAGTTTTTACCGTCATCAGGCATAAAACACTTCCCAAGATTCAATTTTATATTCAAATGGTGTTTTGAAATCAGAACAACAAGAGATTTTTATAAAGCCACTCCTTAGCGGTCAAGTACATTTTGAGTGAACAAAAACTTGAGACTTCAAATAATTTTAGATTCTTTTCATTGTGATACAAATAGTTTTCTCCAAAGCTATGGGTTTTTGGGGATTGCACAAGCTATAGGCTCTGAAAAGTTTTTTTTACAGTTAGCTTTTACTGTTTCTTTTTAAAGTCCTTCTGGTGCTACAAACTTCCTTTACAACCAGTTACGAGTTGAATCTGCACTTATTATCATCAGCAGTTCCTTACTGATATTTACAGTTTCTGCAAAATATGGATGTTATAAAGGTTGCACATTTTTAGCGTGGTTGATTTCAGGAACAGCTGGTACCCGACACTTCTCCTGGTAATGTATCCTTGGCTGCTGCTACTGCTATACAGGTAAAACTTCAGCATTTAAGGCATCTGAAATTTGGTGGGTTGGTTTCAAAAGAATGGCTTCAGTGGGTGCTTGACTAAACCATTGGATGTTTTTTCTGATTGTGCAGTGCTTGCATGGGTAGAGTAATACTTTTTTATTGCTTTTTTATACTCTCGTTTGCAAACGGAAAAATCTGTCTGACGCGGGCTGAGAAGAAACAACCCTACAGCACCCACTCCACCTTACTTATCCATTTGTGGTCATCTTATGAAAAATTTTGAATCATATTTTCTTTCTGCTAAAAAGTTGTGTCTATCTATCTAACCTAAAATTCATTGCGTTTTCTTGTATTTCTCGATTCGCCATTGCATTGCTCATAAGTTGGGTTCCATTGAAGGCCCTTCGTTCACTTGCTGGCGACGTGCCCGGAGACCAAGAGGTGAAACAAAGGTGGCTTGAACTTATGAGAAGCGCGTTCAAGTCTTTATTAAATTTGTCAGAAGGTATCATGACTTTTTTGCACTTTCTTTTATTAAACATCTATTCATGTTTAACCGTTTTGTGTCATTTTTCTTTCATTACAAGTCTTTCAATGAACTCTTTTCTAGGTAACCCCAAGGTTGATGCTTGTGTTATTATGCTGGCTGTAACAGTTTTTATCAACTCAGCTCCGCCCCAAACAGTAATTGGTAATAGCGACATCTTTTCTCGTACTTGTCGGCTATTTCGTTCGTGCTTAAACAACGAAGTGAACAAGGTTATATTTTTAAACACGTCTTTTTTTTAATCTGCATGCTTGTGGGAGTCATTTACTTTATTATTGGACTGATATCTTAGCTGAATATTTAGGTCGTTATCAAATGTTTACAAAGTCTCTCATCAGTATTTGTCCGACCAGAAATATCAGTACCTTTTATCAAAGAATTAGCGTCTAATGTGCTCAGTGAAATTCGGCAGTTTATCGATCTGGATGCAGGAACCTGCAGGTTGAATGAACTGAGCGACGATGATTTCATTATTATACAAGAAGTCGTGCGATGTTTCGAAATTATCCTAACAAATACTCGTTTGAAAAATGGTATCTTATGTAAAGAGATATTTTAAACACTGATGCTGGTTATATTTCCTGTACATCTTTTGCTTGAAATAGTGGGTTTTTCAGAGATGGCTATAGTCAATGTGCTAGTTCAACTTCTGTGCAGTTTTTTGTGTGCTGATCCACAAACTAGATTTCGCCAGTTACCCGCAGCTGGGCGGAAAGTGCATGACTACGCATTACAGCATTTGAATTCGATAGGCACGTCTTACCCAGAACTCTTCCGGAAAATCCTAGTTGTCTTCCCTGAAATCAAGACTAGGTACGTTAAATATAGGGTCTATAGAAAACTGATTTGCCTTTTATTGACTATGTTCCTTAATAACTCTCAAGGTAACTTATGTTTGTTCGCTAGAACTACTTGTAAAATCATTTCGATTTAAGAGTTGAAAAGGCTCTTATACATCAAACGTCACGACAAAATCACCCGACAGCCATGCCACGGACAAACACAAACATCCAAGGTCGGAAGGCTAACCCAGTAACGACGCAACCGGTTATTAAACTGAAATTGGATTTCGCGGCTTTTGGCTCTTCTTGAGCTTTAATTCACACTTCCAGCACTCACTGGTGATGTTGTGTAACGAGTTTGAACTTGATGAGCTATTCTCTAAACTTTTTCTTCGGTCAGGGAGCCTTCTGAAAACCTTGAGGACTAATTTAAGACGCATTTAGTTGTTAAAGCATTTTGAAGTGTCGTTCGTTTCAGCTCAACATCTAAAAAGAAGAACCATATCAGATGGCGGGCCATCGTCGTATCTTAGCTGCCAAACAGTTTTAAATTAGCAAAGTTTTAATAAATTTCTGTCTGACCAGGATTCTCGTGTTTTAATATTTTCAAGTGATGTTTCGCTTCTTCATTAAAATAGACTCGATTCTGGACATCGTTATTTGCCGTGTTAAGATCCATCTCCCATGTATTTGTTGCTGTTGCCTTGGTTATTTTCGTTTTTTTTTTTATTTAGCAACATGAAGATGTAAGCACTTTATGAGTATCAGCATTACTGGAAATACGCGCTGCGAAGCTCTAGTGCATCTTTTGTGTAGCAGCTCTTAAACAAAAGGATAAAGCCGTCAAAATTCCTTATGCTAGGAGTGGTTCCTGCCTGTTTGGACTGCATTTTTTATTGGAATATTTCCCTTCACAAGAGTTTAGTAGCGTTCTTTCAACCAGCCCTTCAACCGTCACGTATGCAGCTAGTCACTGATGATATATTCCAGTCGGTGCACATCGGTGCCGGTCTTGAACACTTTGTTGCTTTAATATTAAATTCTTTTCTAAATCCAAAGGAAGTTGAGATGTTTTCAAGAGGTAGGTTGTAATTAATTCGCAGTTCTCCAAGCAGTATAAGCTAAATTTCAGCGGTTGAAGTGGGGAATATGCTGGTTTTTGTATTGGTTAATGCAGGGTCGCAGCACTTACTGCGAAATTACATGGCAGTGGAATGTCGTCACTACTGGGTCCCGTGTAATTAAATGAAATTACGCAGTGTATCAAGGTGGGATGGAGTGAGGAACGCAAGCTGAAAAGCGAATTCCACAGTTGTCCCGTTAAAGCTATGAGGAAACTAAAGATTGGCAGGATCCCCTTCTGCAATTTCAGTGGGTCTTTTGGGAGAGCTTCACTGACTCCAACTTTCTTAGATGTGGAGCACGGTTTGCTATCAAGGCTTCAAAGGACAGATTTAGACAAGCCTTTGAACCGCCTCTGTCTGGCCAAGGACCTGTTACAGCATTAGAACTACTATTTTTGCTCCAACCCCACCAAAAGATACTGGTTAGGAACGCGCGCCCAAAAACACTAGACGTCCAGAGGCACGTCCATCTACCCACCACCCCCGTTATGCAGTAAAAGTAGGGAAGGAATGAAATCTTCACGCATCTGAAGGCTAATTACGACGCGAAGAAGTACACCCCAGGTGCTTCTACCTTACTACAAAATGACAGCTGATGTAATACTGAGGGAATAAGGTTAGCCCAACCACAGGTCTTTCACTGCCACTGGTAACCGAAAAGTCGCATTTTCTCGCCAAACATCTGTTGGTCTGAGTATGCCACAGCTAAGCCCTCTGAACTACAAAAGACCGGAAAAACGACAAGATGCTACTTTTAGAAGAGATCAGCTCTTACTGTGGAATTCCTTTATTTGGCTCATCAGAACAGACGGCGCAGCGAGTTATCGGATAAAACAGTAAGTAAAAACGCTTAAAGTGCAACATTCAAAAAAATTCCAAATCATTATCAAACTCTTGCAAAAATATCCCCAATCCGACTTCAATATAATTTTTTTTTTTATGTTAAGGACTCACAAAATTACAGCATAAAAATGAATTATTTAAAAGTTTCGAACGACACCAACCGCGCAGAAAAGGAACAAATTCATCATGACGCGGTAAACTAAAAAAAAAACGAAAATAAAGACGTTTCAAACGCGGAGACAAGGAGGCTTATGCAGAGCCAAAAAAAGAAAAGGCATTCGCTTTAAAACAAAAAAAAAAAAAGCATCGACACAAAAATAACTGCCTGTTACCGGAACCTGTTAAAAAAAAATCTTTAACGTCTTGATGCTTCTAATTAAATGTTGCCTTGAATTATGCTATAGCAATAACAACAACTTGAAAAATTTTTGTACGTTACATCTAAGGAACGTAAAACGGAACGAGTTATTAACAACACAAACCGGATCAAAAAAACAGAAGAGACCTGGTAACAAGGAGGATTAAAATAACTTTACGGCCCCATATAACTTTTCCGGTAACCATTGCCGCCACGCCTTTCACGATCCCCTTGATACCCGTAGCCGCCGCGAGGCCCACCGGCATAGTTGTAATATCCTAAAAAATATCAGATTTTCTACGACACTACAACAACTTCCTAACATAAATTTACCAAAAAAGTAACTGGCAAGCTTTTACCATCATTACGGCGGTAATTCATGCCACGACCTCCCTTCATACCTCTTCCGCGTCGGAAGGCCAAAGAACGGACCGCAGAATGGCCAAAAGTTTCCTGATTTGTCTCCCTTTCTTTACGCCAATCTAATTTTGCTTGCTTCCTGACATATGAATACACTTGAGATTGGATAAACAGCAAACTTTAAGAACAAAAAACATAGTTCGTCCACGAACCCCTCCTGTTTTTCCAGCGACTCGCAGGAGATCCGGTCGAAGAAAGACCTACTCTTGTCATAGAAAGGTGATTCCTCAGTCTTCTCTTCTTCAGTTACATCTGCTTCCTCCTTGGTAATGCCCTTCTTCTCTCCTGCAGCCGAACATTTTTCTGACCCATCGTCTAAATAAACAAACAAGTGAATCCAGACAAAAGTGAGTTTCTAAGATTGCAGTCCCTCAGGTTTCATCAGGTGAGAAATACCTCAAGTAAAATACTGGTCACTAAACTAACCCTCTATAGTAGTCTTCTTCATTTCTTTCGTGATACTACTCAGTGTTTCTTGGAACTGTTCGTTTGCTTTTTCAAAGTCATAATCACTTTCAAACTTGATTTGTTTTTCTTTCTGGACCGGTTTTCCAGCTGTGCCCCCTCGACCACCTCTTTGTCCACCCAATCCACGCTGATAATAATCACGTCCACCAGCACCACCACGGTAGTTCGAGTAATAATTTTGAGACCCCGCAGGAGGCACATTGTTGTAATTAGGCGGAATTTGCACTGTAAAAGTAGCTCTATTAAAACCACACAATTTCAAACGTGTCTTTTTCTAAACGGTTTAGTAGAGTACTTAAAAAGTTCCACTAAAATTCATTTCACTGCTTAAGGATCAGGCAAAAGAGAGCAGGCTGCAAAACATAAACAAAATCATATTAATTTCAAATAAGACGAAGAGATGAGCGACAACTCCAAAAAATATAACCTGGTGGTGGTCGACTGTTTCCAATCATATGCATGGCATTTGAATTAGCGCTGTACGGGGGCTGTATTTGTTGATTAAATCCACCACGATTTTTTGACTGATCTGGATACTGCCCTGCTCCGACTGCGCCGCGCTGAGAACGCCCTGTACCTGGAGCACGCGAAATTGCAGGTGGTGCCGCCTCTACGCTTGGAGAGACACGATTCGGTGTGTCAGAACGAGATGCTGTAACAATAATTTAGAACTGTAAAACACTTTCTGTAAAATTACATTGACGTTACCGCAAAAACCTTTCGAATAAAAAAAAAGAGACAACTTTGTTCTGAATTATTTCACCACTGTTGGCAACAAATTGCAACACAGACAAGACAAACCTTTGGTTACTGGCTAAAAACTTTTATTTGAACGCCTTCATTGTCTAGAAATCAAACCTTACAAACAACTGAGCTCTTTGTAGCAAAGCATTCCTTAACAACGTATAAAGTATAAATACCTAATTGTTTGGTTAATTCCTAATACAAAACTGTAACTTGAAACTGTTGGTAGACAGACAATAGATGGAAACTTACATCCTCCACTAACAGTATTAAGATTGCCGCCGACTCCTGGCTGCGAAGGTATCCCAGATGTACGATTCTGAGATACAGTAATGATAGCTGGATCATATGGTAATCCGCCGCTCAGTTCAACAACGGGTTTAGGAGTGTCACAAACAATCAAATCTTTGATATCGTTTGCCTTGAAAATAATGTATTCGTAAACATCGTTACGTCCAGCTACAGGATTTGTAGTTGGCCTATCTTCCGTGCCAAACGATCGCACTAAATATTAATGCAGATTTGCTTCATAATCAAGGAACGACATTTTTTACAAAACTCGACGTCAATGAAACATACAGAAAAATAGGCTTCTACTGAACGCCGAGAAAGCAGATTATTAGTCCTTGGAAAAAAAAGTTTCAAAAGCCCGGAAAAGACTGCAAACAGTAACGGTTTACAAAGTAAACAAAAACCATAGCTCAATCGCACCACTATAATCTCTAGCTTTCTAAAAGAAAAGATTTCGATCAAAAACTTTAAGGAGCACAAGGTACCTTTAGCTAGCGCAATGGTTGATTCGTTCGTGTCCACAGTATACAAAATACCTTCATAACGAATGTCGAGTTTGGAAATCAGACTTATTTTTGACCCAATGTAAGGCGTCTGCTGCGCCATGATCAAGTTTCAACGACACAGCAGGACGTACGTGCTACTAGCTCGACCTGATCAAAATGCATTTCATAACAAATTGAGTGACAATGGGAAACCATCTAATTTAAAACCACAACAATGTTTGCAAAAATAAGTGAAATTCAATGCAACATAAAACGCCTATATACTCTAATTGCTATCAAAACTACTCTTCTAAAAGTATTTAAACTTCAGCAATTTTTGAAATTGGAGCTCATTTGTTCAAAATACGAAGTTGCTGAAAAAAACCAACGTACTCGCTACATTAAACGAAATAAAAAGCGACAATCACTGATCTGGTACGCATGGAGAAAAAAATAATAATAAATATTTGGCACTACAAAGCCATATAATCCAACACCGATAGTGATTACCAAAATGATTCAACAAGTGTTTAGCCAGCCAACGGCAAAAATTCTTGGCTCCCACTGCAGAAAAATCGCAAGAAAAGAAGAATATATCTTAACCATAAAACTGTAACAAAAAGAACTATACAACCCAAACAGGGTCAGTCAAATAAAAAGCCAATACGGTTATTTATAAGGCACTATACTAAAAAAGTCCCCAACAATGACCAAAAGAACGCCCCGAAGGTATTAACTAAACATTTTGCAGCTGACACCCCTGTACCCAACTTACTGCAAGCTAAATTGAAAAAATACGTCGACAAATTCGAAGTGTCTGAATGAAACACACACAAATGTTGTTGTTTCTTTCCAACTACGCAAACAAACAATATGGATCATTTGTGCACATCAGTTAACAGACCCTACACGTATCAAACAGACCAACTGGAAGACTGGTAGCCAAAAAGTGAAGTTCTTGCGCAATTGCTTTAATTTACTCACCAAATTAGGCTCTAGTCAGATCCATGTAATTCTGACTGATGCTGATTAACTGTGAATTCCTATCGATGTCATACAGAACTAATCAAACAATATTTAATCACTTTAAAAAGATCAATTACTAACAGGATTCACAAAAACAAAATTCCCCTGAAGAAACCGCAACTGCACTATATTTTCTAAGCATAACTAACTACAGTTCGTAAAATCAGTATATTAGGTT